TAGTGGTGGTGGTGGTGGGTGACGTATTGAGTGGGCTAGGCGGTGCCTGACAGCATCGCAATGCATATGCATCACGGCAGCAGCGCACGCGGTGTTCCTGCCGGCACACAATTACAGACCCACGTGACGTGCACAGACTGCACAATATTCTTGGTTCTTTCGGTAAAGTCACGTAGAAGGGAAATAATAAAATAATATAAATATAAAACAATACAAATTCAGGTGTGATGATGATTGCTCGAAACGTCGTGAGAATTTTTATTGATTTATATTTATATTATTTTATTATTTCCCTTCTACGTGACTTTACCGAAAGAACCAAGAATATGAATCCCTGTAGTCACGAAAGCTTTAAATCAAAATTTAGACTGCACAATGTTACAGCCCCGCACCCTCCACACCCCCCTGTTGCCCTGTCCACAGCTTCACATTTGTGTCAGCGGTGGGGGTGGGACAGGTTTATTTGAGCGCCGAGATGGCGAGGATGTTAACTACCTCGCCTGGGTGTACAAGCAAGGGCGTGGGTTCGATCCCGACCCTGGCGCCTGTGAGTTTGGAGTTTGCGTGTTGTGCCGGTGGTCGCGTGGATTTTTCTCCGGGTCCTCCGGTTTTTTTTTTGTCCGTCCACATTTAGGATCAACATCACGCGTTTGGAGTATTTTGGCTGCTGCTAGAAACGTCCACGTGATACGCTACTGCGTTGAGCTATCATTTGTGATGACCAGGTCACTTCTGAAAAACAGCTGTATAGCTCAGTGAGCCTTACCTGGTCAAATTAAAAACATATCTTTCGATTTAAAGCTTTCGTGACTGCAGGGATTCATCTTCTTGGTTCTTTCCGTAAAGTCACGTAGAAGGGACGGCTGCTTGCGTTGTGGTCGAAACGTCGTGAGAATTATTTTATGTTTTATTTTTATTATTTTATTTCTTCCCTTCTACGTGACTTTACCGAAAGAACCAAGAAGATAAAAACATATCATGAATATTTTTAGGTTTGCCCATACTTTACCACGCTGGTCAATGCGGGTTGATTAAGGTGGATGAGGAGAATGGCTCAATTATCTCATGGAATAATTTTTCATGGAAGAAAACAAACCCAACCGCGACCTCCAACTCACGCGGACCAGGCTTCAGGAGATGATGATTGGGGAGGGGGATATTTTCCAGAGCTCGGGCCCAGGCAGGTCCAGCTGAAATTAAGCCCTGTTGGAGAGCATAGCCTACGGAGCATAGGAGTAGAGTACAATAATGCGTTCTGTAGGCCAGCCGCAGCATGGATGGGCGATCATTGTGTACACAGCAGGCTTTGCAGGTGTTAAAAAATCGGGCACTCGATGTAACCATTATACAAAGCGGTCTGCACCCATTCAAAAAGGCACGATCCTGTAGACTAAAACACCACATAGCAGATTACATTTATTTCCGCAAATAAATAAACGCCAACATCGAGTACAGTTATGTTGTAGATTGCATACACTGAAATAAGGAATATATGTTATTATGCAAACGCATTAGCAGCTTGTAGCCCGGTGGAATATTACATTTAAAATACTTCAAACGTGTCCCGTAACTGGTCTCGGGCCATATGAATGTGGAATTTCCACCAGTGGCTCAGGATGGCCAACGGAATTGAGCGTCTTGCATTGAAAATTCCCACAGAGATGGACACTTTGGCTGCAATTATTAAATTACAATCCCGGCCATTCTCGGCGTAGAGCGAACCGGGAGATTGAGACCGGCGCTCTCTGGATCGCAAGTGCGGTGCCCTGACCATTGCACCGCTGTGGCAGGGCCCCCCTAAAGGGGCATGACGTTGACTTCACTTCACAAATGTAAATACTGTACATGTAATGTAATAGCAATTTCCAATGACGTGGTTTGTATAAAGTAAATCAAGACGCCCACTCCCACGGACCCCGCGTGTGGCGAACGTGAGCGAGCCTCCAACGAAGCACGGCTCATTTTTAAACAAATACTGCAACTTCTAGATTTGAAGCTTTCGTGACTGCAAGGATTCATACTCTTAGGTTTTTTTCGGTAAAGTCACGTAGGTAAAAATAAAAATAAATAATAAAATGGGGAAAAAAACTTTATAATAGAAATTAAATAATAAATCACGATGTTTCGGAGGCAACACAAGTCTCCGTCATCAGGTGGGACCGTCACAGCTAAATTTACTGTATCAAGTGAGAAAAAAATCCAAGAGGCAAGCTCTTAAATACAAGTTAAGTGGGAGGGGGGGAGGGGCTTATCTGAATGTGAATGGAACAGGGAGGGGGGGCGGCGGAGCTTGGAGTTACGGCCGATTGTTGGCTGACAACTAAAAAATTCAAATAGCAGTACTGTTAAACGCTGGGGATGTCAACAATCGGTAAAGTAGAATAGTACCTGTCAAATAAAAAGGTACAAATATGAGTAGTTAAATCTTTTTTAAATCCTTTATATTAAGTTCGCTTGCTTGCTTAGGACCGTGCAAATCTTTCGGTCGTTTTTTAACCCACTTACCGTGATCCAATCGAGCTGACATTTTGCACACAGACTCGTTGTGCGTGACAATGCATTTTCGTGAAAAAAAATTCAAAAATTTGACACTGTTTAGGGTTTTTTTTTTATATTTAATTACCAATTGTTTAATGCTGCCAGACAATCATCTGACCCATAGGTGACAGCCATCTCAAGCCAGAGGACGAGAGGACTCTAGCCGCCACGCATATAAAGGATTTAGAGTGAAAAACTTTGTTTTTACGGGTTATACTTGTTTATTTTTACCTACGTGACTTTACCGAAAAATACTGCAACACCACCTGTCCTGCCCTCCACCCGCCACGAACACCACCACCACCACCAACAACCCCTCCGCCTCCCCCACAGCGAAGTCAAATCCACGGAAACACAACGCGCACAATCGCGCGTGTGTCAGCGGCGTGTGTCAAGGCGTGAGCCCTCGTTAGCCTAACGGGGTAATTGGATCCTTGGGCCCGGTTGCTTCTTTGCGTTGTTGCATTTAAAGTTGAAAATTGACACGGGCCGAGCGGCTTGTTGAATCTTTTTTTTTCAAATCGGTGTTTACAACGCCAGTTCTCACGGCACATTCACCCGTGGCAAAAGGCATTGGCGGGATTGGCAGTCTCATCGATTGAAATGCAAACACGAGAATCGTACGCACAACTGATCGGAGCTGGTGATCGGTAAACGTGTAAAACCGGCGATGAGTCACGGCAGATTCTGCCCGGCACCACCAAAGGTGGCACACATTTAGAATGGCCGTACCTGTTTCTGTGTGCTATATGGATAAAAGTGGATAATGTGACAACATACTTAGTAAGTGATGTGACTGCATAATTCCCTTTCATTGGCGATATATCGATGTTGGTACGAGCCATGTGTTGTGTCTCAGGTGGTGCTTACCTGGAAAAACGTTGGGTTTGGGCCAATGGAGTAAGTGGTGTGGTGTTGGGCCTCCAGTGAGCATCGATTAACGCTGATTATTTCACTCGCGATACGTGCATCGAATCGTGTGCGTAACAATACATTTACTTTTCGATTTAAAGCTTTCGTTACTGCAGGGATTCATATTCTTGGTTCTTTCGGTAAAGTCACGTAGAAGGGAAATAATAAAAAAAAATAAAAAATAAGTATTTTATAGAAGGGAAATAATAAAATAATCAAATTAAACAAAATAAAAGAAGTATTTTATTAGGTAGCAAATTTTATTATTTATTAAAGTAAAACATAATACAATAATTATGTTATAATGTTTATTATTTATTATTTTATTATTTCCCTTCTACGTGACTTTACCGAAAGAACCATGAAGATGAATGCATTTACTATCAATGAATGCAAATTGTGCGGTTCAAATCCAGCAGGCCGCCCCGTTTATTACTGCGGAGTGCATTGACCGTACAACACTCGCCATCTGCTTCACAGCGGACGTTAAAGATCCCGCGATGCCATTCGAAAAGAGTCGGGCATCGTACGTGGCGACACGGCCAAAATTATAAAAAAAAAAATACCTGCGGTTGGCTCAATTGGGATTACATGGAAACATCGCCCTCCTGCATCCGTTGCCTGTGAAACAAAACGCCTTCGCGGTAGCCTTGTGCTATTAGGATGGCTTTACGTGTGCTCAATAATAATTACCTGAACTCGGACTCATTGAAATGCCAGAGTGAGAGAAAACGGGGCACCAAATCTCCAGCTGCAGCACAAGTCCAGATCATGGACATTCACGGAATCGTAGGTGGAGGCGCTGCGGTGAACGTGGACACGCCGGGTGGTGGGACTGGCAATTAAACGGCACGGCTAAAAAGCCACAATTGTTGAATTCAGGCCATGTGCAAGAGCAATAGCACAGCTGGCAAGGGTCCCGATGTATGGAATGCATTGGGGCAGCCCGTCCAACATTCCACACCCCGTGCTTCATAGCCTGGTGCTTGGGTACCACCTGGCCCATGGGTCTCGGTGCAGATGCACTGCTTGTACGCATTGTGTTAGTCTATAGGCTCTATGTTAGTCTATGGGAACCTCTTCTAGTCCGTGAGTCTCTATGCGAGTCTCCAATCAGCACTTTCGATTAACGCGGCCGGCTACGTACGGTGCGAAATCAGTTCAACACAGACGCATACCGCGGGTCTCTATGCGAGTCGATGGGTCAAGATCCTCACAACGTCTGTGGGTCTCGGTGGCATAGCACAAATGTGCGGCACGAACAAGGTGCAAGCAATGAAACGGGTCCCAAACCCACCCTGTCCAATTTCACTCTCCCCCCTCTTCGTAGCCCGGCACTTGGTGTCCCCCCCCCCCCAACCGATCGGGAGTTGAACCCCGGGCGGACCGGGGTTCGCGTCGCGGTGTCGAGGGCCTGTCGACGCTGTTCTCCACGTGGCGTGAACGGACTCGACCGTAACGACTCGCAAACCGTCCGTGGGAAGCCTGCCATGCACCGACGCCACTGACACCCCTTCCCCCCGCCGCTACCATGCTCCCCACCTCGGCCCCCCCACCCGATCGCAGGTGAAGAAAGCACAGGCTGGAAAGAAAACCGTTGCACACAGAGCGACTTGTGTAGGAAATCTGCGTGACATTTGTAGGAAAGACGAGTAAACCCTGTTTCAGACTGATGGGGGCTGCTGCAGCCCGAGGTGCAGTCCGCGCGTGTCCGTCCGTCCGTCTGCTTGCTTGCCTGTGTCGCCCAGTAGTCTGTCCCTCTGTCTTTCGTTGCGTGTCGGGGTCTGTTGTCTGTGCTTCTCTGGTCAGAGTACGCTTGGTCTGACACAAGCATCGTATTGACGTTGCCGCCACTTAGTGGTGAGCGGTGGTGGCGGTGGTGGTTGGTTCTTTATGCGTGTGCATGCGTCTGTCTGCTACTCAGTCATTGTGCCTGTGCGCAAATGTGGTTCGTGTATTGTGTGTCTGTCTTGCTGTGTGTTGCGGGGAGCGGTGAGCGCATAGGGTGCGCTACAAACCCCCGGCGACCCGAGTTCGATTCCCGTTCACGACCAACACCGGTGACGATTATTTGGACCTCAAATTAGTACCTGGTGCGGTGTGTAAACATCGCCATTGGAGAGACAAAGGCAGCCGGGCATGGTGTTGTCCACCCACCCCCTCGTGTGCCGTGCCGGCCTTCATAAATGTTCGCTAACAACACTTGCCCCAACAGTATGTTAAGGCTATTCGGGGGATCTTTGTCTTTGTAATGCTGTGTACGAGTGACTGTCTACGCTGTGCCTGTCTGTGTGACTCTTTGCACTCCTTTCGTTCATTGTATTGTTTTGCTGTTGTGACTTGCAGACCCGCTCATACTGGAACATCTGTGAAAAAGAGCTTCATGGCTCATCGGATTCCTTCAGTATAACACGAATAAAGATTCTGATTCTGTGCCTGTCGGCTTGTCTGTGTCCATCTGTCTTCACGTCCATCACTTCATCTGCATGCCTATGGTCCGTGCGACTGTCTGTATTTCCATGTGCACCTATTATTGTGTCTATCTGCCTGTGTGTTACTCGCCACCGTGAATCTGTGTGTGCTCTGCGTGAATATTTACCTGTCTCTGCAGTGGTCTGCTTGTCTCTGCGTTTGTCTGCCTGTACAGCAATCTATCGTGTCTCGACATTTGTCGCCTGCATCTGTACAGCTGACACTTTTGCCAACGCATCATCCGTGTGCCTGTGGTCTTGCGTGTCCGTCCGTGTACGTCCCGTGGTCCGCGCGTCGTCTGCCTGCGGGTCTTCCTGTTTTCGCGTAAGGCAGCCAGCAGAGCTATGCTCCTCGCCGAGCTCTGACATTGAGAAGTTAATATTTTTTTTTAAAAAATGATTCGGATCAACAAAACACCGTGATTCTCGGAACGCTGCCTTTGCCCGCGTGCGCCGCACCACGTTCCAACGGGTGAACAAGATTGATCGTTCCACTCCGCCCTGCGATTGGGCAACAACCATTCACAATTAAGTCGTCTTATGATTTCTCAAACACATTGTTAGCATCACACGCACACACACAGAAAGAAGGAAAGAGGCGACAATTGTCTAGCGTGCAGAAAATCCCGACACGGGGACTATACTTCCGTGTGTCGCCGATACCGAAGGTCGGATGCTGGAGCCCCCCAGATCCTTTTGATTGCAGCGTTCACGACATCAACTTGTTGATCCTCGGGATGACCGTCGCCACGGCAACTGCGATCACTATGGCCAGCATGGGGATACGTTTGATCCACGGTTTCTGGGAAATACACATGTGGGTGTAATTCTTACCACGTGTGTCATTCTCATCCTCAGAATGTGTCTATACACGTCTCATTATATAATCTTTAATGTATACTAGCGGTAAGTACCCGGCGACTAACACACAGACATGGACCCACACACATAGAAACACATCGACTTACACGCACACACACACACATATGGACTCACACAGACAGACATCGACTTTAGACACACACACATAGACTTACACACATGTGTGTGTGTCTAAAGTCGATGTCTGGATGCTGCTTTGGTGTAATGACTAGCAAACTGGACTTGCATCCCAGTGGTCGCCGGTTCGATCTCTTGGCAGGGCAGCGCAACTGGGTTCTCTACAGTTAGTTGATTGGCGGGACATGCGTGGTGGGGTGAAGTGTGGTTACGTCTACCTCCTCTGAGCCGTGTTGCCAGCGTGGAGCAGCAGGGCCAAACACCCTCCAGAGGAACCCTACATCTCCATCTCGTGGAGGCCCTTCTACCGGCAGTGGTGTGAGCCAGCAATTGCAGGGCTGCACCTTTATATTGTTTTTTTTACATATAAAAACGCAACATTCAGGCTAACAGAGAGAAAGTGAGGGTGGGGCGGATGAGTGAAGAGGTGAGTATCCGAAGATACAAATTGAGGAGGAGGAGCATTGTGATAAGTGGCAGGTGAGAAGAGGTGATGGGTTGTTGACGGCTGTGGGTGACGCCACGTGAGGATGACGTAGGAGGGTGAGGACCCAAACTTCCAAATTGAGGAGCATCGTGGGTGAGCAGAGGTGATGGGTTTGACGGCTGTGGGTGAGGCCAGGTGAGAGAATGGCGACGGGAGGCGAGGATTGGTAGGTGCAGGGTGAGGAGCATCGTAGGAGGCTCGGGCCGATGGTGAACGCGGGGAGGGAGTGAGAGCGGGGAGGGAGCGAGAGCGGGGAGGGAGCGAGAGCGGGGAGGGAGCGAGAGCGGGGAGGGAGCGAGAGCGGGGAGGGAGCGAGAGCGGGGAGGGAGTGAGAGCGGGAGGGAGTGAGCGGGGAGGGAGTGAGAGCGGGGAGGGAGTGAGAGCGGGGAGGGAGTGAGAGCGGGTAGGAGTGGGCGGGAGGGAGTGAGAGCGGGGAGGGAGTGAGAGCGGGGAGGGAGTGAGAGCGGGGAGGGAGTGAGAGCGGGGAGGGAGTGAGCGGGGGGGAGTGAGCGAGGGAGGGGAGTGAGGAAGCGGGTAGGGAGCGAGAGCGGGGAGGGGAGTGAGCGGGGAGGGATGAGCGGGGAGGGGTGAGAGCGGGGAGGGAGCGAGAGCGGGGAGGGAGCGAGAGCGGGGAGGGAGTGAGGCGGGGAGGGAGTGAGCGGGGAGGGAGTGAGAGCGGGGAGGGAGCGAGAGCGGGGAGGGAGCGAGAGCGGGGAGGGAGCGAGAGCGGGGAGGGAGCGAGAGCGGGGAGGGAGTGAGCGGGGAGGGAGTGAGCGGGTAGGGGAGCGAGAGCGGGGAGGGAGCGAGAGCGGGAGGGAGCGAGAGCGGGGAGGGAGCGAGAGCGGGAGGGAGCGAGAGCGGGAGGGAGCGAGCGGAGGGGAGGTAGCGAGCGGGGAGGGACGAGAGCGGGGAGGGAGCGAGAGCGGGGAGGGAGCGAGAGCGGGGAGGGAGCGAGAGCGTGGAGGGAGCGAGGCGGGGAGGGAGCGAGAGCGGGGAGGGAGCGAGAGCGGGAGGGAGCGAGAGCGGGGGAGGGAGCGAGTGCGGGGAGGGAGCGAGAGCGGGGAGGGAGCGAGTGGGGAGGGAGCGAGAGCGGGGAGGGAGCGAGAGCGGGGAGGGAGCGAGAGCGGGGAGGGAGCGAGAGCGGGGAGGGAGCGAGAGCGGGGAGGGAGCGAGAGCGGGGAGGGAGCGAGAGCGGGGAGGGAGCGAGAGCGGGGAGGGAGCGAGAGCGGGGAGGGAGCGAGCGGGGGGAGGGAGCGAGCGGGGGGAGGGAGTGAGCGGGCCCCCACCTGGCTGGAATCGTCGTCTCCCTCGAGCGAGGTGAGCAGCTCGTGGCAGCGCTGCAGCTCGGAGCCCAGCCAGTCGCGGTCGTTCTCGCTCCATTGGCAGCGCTCCTGCCACTCGACAACGCGCGCACGGCTGTCCCTGTACTGCTCACGCGTGCGCACAAAGAACAAGTATAACCCGTAAAAACAAAGTTTTTCACTATAAATCCTTTATATGCGTGGCGGCTAGAGTCCTCTCGTCCTCTGGCTTGAGATGGCTGCCACCTATGGGTCAGATGATTGTCTGCCAGTATTAAGCAATTGGTAATTAAATATTTAATTTGTTTTCCCTAAACAGTGTAAATTTTAGAAAAAAATTTTCACGAACATTAATTGTCTCGCACAACGAGTCTGTGCAAAATGTTAGCTCGATTGGATCACGGGAAGTGGGTTAAAAAACGACCGAAAGATTTGCACGGTCGTAAGCAAGCAAGCAAGCACGCAAGCAAGCACGCGAACTTAATATAAAGGATTTATAGTGAAAAACTTTGTTTTACGGGTTATACTTGTTATTGTTTAGTTTGTTTACCCAGGAAGGCCACACCGAGCCTCAAGACTTTTCTTTAGGAGGGTCTTGCCAAGTTTTCGCTGTCGGGAGCGATGTTGCTGTCGCTGCTGTGCAGCGATGGTGCAGGTAAATGTTCAGCATTGGGATGTTTGGCCAATACCAGTTCCACTGTGTGTGTGGGTTTAGCTATTTCGGAGAGGGAAATCGGAGAGAACCTGGGGGAAACCCGTGCAGGACAGGGGGCGAACACACAAATTCTACGCAGAAAGCGGTGCCTGAGTCGGGAATCGAACCCAGACCCCCCTTGCTGTAAGACATCTGCTGTGCCACTACTCTGCCGCATCAACAGACTGCTGGGGCAAGTGCTGTTAGCGAAGGCGCACAACAACAACACCAACAACCGCCGTTCGTCACTGAGCCAGGCTAAGTGCACTTCAATGCCACGTGAAGTATCCAAGCATCATCTTCTTGTTCTTTCGGTAAAGTCACGTAGAATGGAAATAATAAAATAATAAAATTAAGCAAAATAATTCTCACGACGTTTCGGCCACAACGCAAGTAGCCGTCCTCAGGTGAAGAACAGGTCTGTCGAGGAGACAGAGTCTGAATTCAGACTGAATTCTGTTCTTCACCTGAGGACGGCTACTTGCGTTGTGGCCGAAACGTCGTGAGAATTATTTTGTTAAATGTTATTATTTTATTATTTCCATTCTACGTGATTTTACCGAAAGAACCAAGAAGATGAATCCCTGCAGTCACGAAGCTTTAAATCGAAATTTATCCAAGCATCATTCGAGGGAGTGACTGGAAATAGAGTCATGGGAACAGCCCCGTTGGTTCAGGAAGGCTGTCCAGTGTCCCATAAGATTTGTGAAATCTGAATTTTTCTTTCTCCAATATATTCTTGCCTTGTGCTTGACTCAACATATTGCAAAGCCGGCCTTACTCGAGTAGTGGGCAGGCCTTTGAGCAGCAGCAGCAGCCGACGCACCATCAGAAAGAGTGAAGATGTCGCTCTGAGCGATAGAGTTGTTCGTGGCTATGCGCACCTACGTGGAGCTGACGGTGAGAGGGGCTGCCAGCTCACCCATGTCTCCAGACGACACAAGGCAGCTTTACCCACCGTCTCAGCGGTGCCAGCTCTCGGCATCTCTGTCCGACTGGACATCTGTGAGACGCTGGACATCAGTGACAAAGAGCTTTAACGGCTATTGTCTTTCCTCCAGTAGACGTAATGAAATATTCCGGCTCTGATTCTGCCCTCCGAGCTCGAAGCAAATCCGACGCCGCGTTACCTCCTCCTGCATGAACTGGGTGCGATCGCGCGTGGCACGCAGCCTATCCCGGAGCTCTGTGCCCGAGGCCGCGTCCCTGTCGCTGAGCTCCATGCCGGGGCCGTCGCCCTCCCTCTCGCTGGCATCGCCGAGGCCGGCCGAGCTGTCCACGCGCTCCGTGTCGGCGCGCAGCTCCGCCACCTCGGAGCACAGCTGTGTGTTCCGCTCCTTCGTGCTGCCCGGAGGAAGGTTGGGGAGGGGGGGTCACGTGGTCCCCGTACGGTCAATGTTCCCATTTATTTTATTATAGACCTTGCTGAGCACGGCACACATGTGTACAAAATACCAAGCGGGTCAGCAACAAGCAGCAGCAGCAGGTTCTAAGAGATTTTGGGAAAGAGACGATGAGATGATGATGTGGAGAGGGGATTCCCACAGTGGGGCAGTGCGAGGAAAGACTCAGAAAGGGCAGTGAGGTGAGCTGCAGTGTGGCGAGTGCGTGGGTGAGAGGGCGAATAAGTGGGCGAGTGGTTAAGTGTTGTTCTCAGCCTGCAGTGCGAATGGAGTAGTGGCCACGGGAGGTAATGGCAGGGGAGTCAGCCTGCAGTGCGAATGCACTAGTGGCCACGGGAGTAATGACAGGGGAGTCAGCCTGCAGTGCGAATGGAGTAGTGGCCACGGGAGGTAATGACAGGGGAGTCAGCCTGCAGTGCGAATGCACTAGTGGCCACGGGAGGTAATGACAGGGAGGTCAGCCTGCAGTGCGAATGGAGTAGTGGCCACGGGAGGTAATGACAGGGGAGTCAGCCTGCAGTGCGAATGGAGTAGTGGCCACGGGAGGTAATGACAGGGGAGTCAGCCTGCAGTGCGAATGCACTAGTGGCCACGGGAGGTAATGACAGGGGAGTCAGCCTGCAGTGCGAATGCACTAGTGGCCACGGGAGGTAATGACAGGGAGGTCAGCCTGCAGTGCGAATGGAGTAGTGGCCACGGGAGGTAATGACAGGGGAGTCAGCCTGCAGTGCGAATGGAGTAGTGGCCACGGGAGGTAATGACAGGGGAGTCAGCCTGCAGTGCGAATGCACTAGTGGCCACGGGAGGTAATGACAGGGGAGTCAGCCTGCAGTGCGAATGGAGTAGTGGCCACGGGAGTAATGACAGGGGAGTCAGCCTGCAGTGCGAATGGAGTAGTGGCCACGGGAGGTAATGACAGGGGAGTCAGCCTGCAGTGCGAATGCACTAGTGGCCACGGGAGGTAATGACAGGGTTGTCAGCTGTGATTGCGAAGGGACTGGTAGCTCCGAGAATTGTTGAGAAGTGAGCGTGGTCAGGTGATGGAAGAGGCCGGTAGAGTCTGCTGGTGGAGCGAACGTCCAGAATCAGCGAGAAGGTTCGAGAAGGGGGGCGTGGCCTCGGCTGGTATATAAGGGGAGATGCGCGGTAGACGTGGGGCTTCTTCCAGTGGGGTCTCCGCCTGA